TAGTGGTAGGAGTTGTTTGCATCTTTCCTGTTCTCTCACACACCCCCGTGAGGCTTATATAATGGTACAGGCCACTTTGCTCTAGTCTCTCCCCTCCCCTCCCCTCCCCCAGTGTCAGCGGATCTTCCAGCCAGCCCCTCTTGGTCTGCACATGGCAAAGGCTTGGAGCGCCTGGCACCTGCTGAGCTAGGCAGCGCCCTGCCCCGCGCCAACGCAAAGCAGGAGTCACTCCTGAAGTCAAACCAGTGTGAGACCAGAATCCCTGCAGGCAGCAGCCCCGCCTGGCTTGGGCTGGCAGCTGGTGCATAGCAGAAACAGGCCTGGTCCCCCTCCAGCCACAGCATCTCTGGATCCAGAACCAGTGCACGGAGCAGCGCATGGGCGTGAGGGTGTGTGTCAGTGCCTGGAGCTAGGGAAATGCCAGCATGGAAAACAAAATATGGTGCCACTCTGGAGCAATGCGCTTCCATGGGCAAAACCCACTGCTTCAGCCGAGATGATCTCAAAATCATCTCATCTGAAAGAAGTGGGTTTTGCCCCCCGAAAGCTCATGATACAGATATATTGTCTTTAGTCTCTAAGGTGCTACAGGTCTACTCATTTTTAAAGTTACAGACTAACACAGCTACCCCCTGAAACTCTAGACTAGGAATGGTTTAAAAATATAAAAGGTTCTGGTTACGAAAAATTACCACTAATTACATACTAAGCAAAATAGGGGACATGTAAATATTTGTTGCTATTGACTCTCACAAAGTATATTCACATTTTTTTTAAAAATCTAGCCAATATTTTTACTAATATTTAAGAAATGTCCTTGCTAAATATGTATAATAAAAGCTTTAATTTTATGAAAACACCATTAGAAACAAGATGTGGACACTTGTTCTGTAATGGATAACACCCTGTTCAATAGCTATGACTATTACATTACTGTATATAGTTTATCTAAACAAAGCTCACTTTTGTGATGATTATTGGGGGTTTTTTTTGGCTAGTATTTACTCTGCCAGCATTTGTAAGCCTGTTAAAAATTGTCCTATATACAAATAGTGTAATCAAAATGCCAGCAAGGATAGCCATGAAATGGAACAACTTATAGGAGAAGCTTGATTATATTAATAACTATCTTATAACCAATTATATGAACCATTTTTCATAGGGGGGAAAAAATCATACAAAAGTAATGATGAACAAGTTCGTGTCCTGTCACTTGCTAATGTCTTCACAAAATGAAAGTAATAGCTTTGTTTTTGTCGGTGATGGTGGAGTCCTCTGGCTACCAATAACTAAAAGTATGTTTCAGAGCCCAGGTCAGTTTACTCAGGATCATGGAACTATCAAATTGCAATGCAGCCCTTCCAGTAAAATCCCTAGCCCCTAAGATCACAGGCTCAATCCCACCTCCCAACAAGCCACATCATCCATCACCTCTGCAAATAGGGGCTCCTCTGGGATTTCAAATGGGATGTCTCTGAAGCTTGGGACCCACTTCCTCTACTAGAAGACGTCTCTCCTGGGTGCGGTGCATTATCCTTTCCAGTGGCACCGAGACCCATACAGATAGGTAAGCTGTAGAGCAGACTCATTGTTCTAACAGCAGTGCATTATCCTTTCCAGTGGCACCAAGACCCATACAGATAGGTAAGGCTGTAGAGCAGACTCATTGTTCTAACAGCTAGCTTTTAGCTCATGCAGTAGAAGGGGGAGGGAGGGCAATAATTTTTAAAAGGGGGCCACTTCAGAAATTTCAGAAGTGACCCCAGGCCACCCTGGAAGGGGCAGAACCTTGGACAGAAGGGGTGGGGCCAGGAGACTTCTTGTGCTTTCCCCCAAAATGCTGATTGGCCTGGGGTGGGGGAAATCTTCCCCTTCCCTCCCCTGTCCCCTAGAAAGAAAGGTCAGCTGTTTTAAAACAGCTGGCAGTTCCCTCTAGGCACCCAGTGGGAGGAGACCTCACGCGCTCCCCAAGCCAATCAGGGCCAAGGGAGCAGACAAAGTCTCCTGGTCCCCACAAGAGCGTGCAGCGTCTAGAGATACATGCCAGCTGCTTTAAAACAGCTGGCATGTTTCTCTAGCCATTGTGTGCCCCTGGTAGGGTGGGGCCAAGACACGAAAGACTTCGCCTGTTCCCCACCCCCAGCATGGTGGGGGCAGCAGGGCGGCCGCAGGCCCACTTCACTGGCTTGGTGGGCCGAATCTGGCCTGCAGAGGGCCCTTTGTCCACTGCTGCAGTAGAGGCTCCTGTGCTGGGCTCCAGAGGTCCCAGGTTCAATTCCACCCACAGGTGACCAGTGTTACACCTGCATCCCCCTCTCCTTGGAAGGCACCCACCCCATCCAGCAAGTTGCTGCTGTTGCCGAATGCACTTTAAAAAGCTTCCAACCCCTCCTCCAGCACAGGGAAAGCAGAAGTAGCCATCTGTCTGTAGGGAGCTGTGCTCATCACACCACTACCCCAGGCCTGCCACTGTCAGCAGCAGGAGGCAGCTGTGTGTTTGAGCATGACAAAGGGAGTTGGGAGCACAAGCCCTGTTGACTTTCAATAGGACTTATGTGTCTAAGTCACTCTTGAAAAACCCAGGCTGGCCACGTGCCTAATGCAGCTGGGACGTCAGCTCCTCAGAGGTATCCCCACCCAGCAGGCTGCTCAGAGAACATGCACAGGAAGGAGGGGTGGGGAAATGTGAATTCAAGGAGCATGGGTTGAGAGGGATGGAGAATTGCCTTGTGCTGGCGCTGTGGGCTACAGGTAGGGGGTCCGGATGAGAGAGAATCAGGTGCGTCTGCTTTTCAATACACTGGCTCACACCCTGAGCCCCAGGAACACCGGCCGGTACCAAGCGGGGCCTCTGAGCTGGACTTTCCATAAGCGGGCGGCCAGCCAGCCCTTCCCTGGGAATGCTTAGCATGACAGCCTGGGAGCACAGCACGTGCTCCCCCTCACCCCCCGCTAGCCCCAACCAGCTCAGCCGAGCACCACCCATGCCTGTTTGTTACAGCTCCATAGCTTTGTACACAGGATTTGAGCAATTCCCCCCCTGCAGCGCGAGGCCCCAAGGGAAGAAATGCTTGTACACAGGATTTGAGCAATCCCCCCCCGCAGCGCGAGGCCCCAAGGGAAGAAATGCATCACGCTTATTGCCTCCTGGGCCTAGGACACCGCAGTCCCGGCTGCTTTTACCAACATACCGGCCCTTTAGGAGAAACAGAGCAGCCTCCAGTCTTTAGCCTTTACACCAAGGGCAGAGTAAGTCAACCTGCCACCTTAGTATGGAGCTTCTACAAGCCAGCCCCCCGTCTTTCACTCCTGGCCCAGCACAAGAGCAGCCAGACTGGGCCAGACCAAAGGTCCATCTAGCCCAGGACCCTGTTTTCTGACAGTGGCCAAGGTCCGATACCCCAGAGGGAATGAACAGGAGAATCATCAAGCGATCCCACCCGTCACCCAGCCCCAGCTTCTGAAATACAGAGACCCAAGCCAGGATCCCTGCAGCTTAACAGGGAGGAGGCTCTGCAGCAGAGATGATCCAGCTCCTGTAGCAATTCCTGGTTTATTAGTCACAGAGTGGCAGGGGGGAGGAAGTCCAAGAGAGCATCCGGCAGTGATGAGCAAACACCTTCGGTGTGGGGGTGGAGAACCTGCAGCCCAGATCCAGCTTGTGGGGCAAGTCTCCCTTAGAGAAGCTGCCTGTATGGAGGAGGAGTCAACTGAGGCTCAGCATTTAAGTCTTGCATTAAAAAACAAACCCAGATTTTTATTTCATTTATTGTTCTACAAAACAGATCAACAGAAAAGTGTGTTTGTAAATTCTAATGAGAAGCCTTGTCCTGCCACTACAGAGTTTGCCACCCAGACACTGACCCTCTGCTAAGGCCCCCCCATCAAAATGGACAAGAAACAAGGTCAGTTTCACTTTTGTTTCTCCTCATCCACACTCAGAGAAAAGCACCAATTGCCAAGAGTAAACACATGTACAAGTCTCAGTTTGAATCATTCTAAGTGTTTAATATAATCCCCTGTGATTCTACCTTGACTGCAGCCCTTTTAACTGAAAATTATCAGTGCCACCCTGCAAATATCTGTCCTGGAAGAACAGGATTTGAAATGACAAGAGACTTTGGAGACTCTGAACCTTTCAATCTATCAATAAGTGTGACAGAGTCATAGCACCCTCTCTAGACAGCAATCAAGCCCCCACATATACAATGGTTTTGTAAACTTCACACTGCTTCCTTAGTTCCTAGTGGCGGGCAGGACAAATGTGCTTTGTTAGACTTTCCCCTGGCCCTGTTTCCACCCAATCACAAAGAAGCAGAAAAGTGCTTGATACAAAAACAGCCAATCCGCAGCACCTTCCGGTAAAAAAAAATGTAAACCAATCAGAGGCCGGTATGAGGAATTCCCCGGTACACATAAGCAAGACCAACACAGAACAAAACAATGGCAGAAATTTTTCCTATAGAAACTAATTTGACAGCCTAGTCCAAGAAAGGAATGTAATGGAGGGAGGTCACCACTGAGCAAGATTGAGAAATTGCACTCAAGTGAACTCAAACTCACTCCTTTCTTCAGCTTATCTGGTATCTATTCCCTTACCTCCGAAGCACTTTTACCAGGACAGAGGCAACATCTCATCATGCAAGAATGGAGCATGACATTCTCACACAGAGGGTAAGGCCGATCATCAGTGTCCGTATTGTTTCCTAGGGGAAAATTCCTGTGGTTTTCTTATCTGAAGCTAAAAACCTAGACATGAATAATTCCTAAGTTCATAAAGCAAGGTTGCCAGTTCCCTTTATACCACAAACATTTCACCGGTAAGTTCATCATTGGAACAAGGAGCTGGTCTCCTGCCTATGACGCACTGTGAATCCCAAAAGCACTTTAGAGATTTCTAGCCAAAAGGGGTAAGAGGAATTCAGCCTGGAATCCCAACACAGAGCTCAAGGGGGGTTCTGCACAAAAGCTGCTGGCATGTCC